TTGTATCAACCTTCCCTCTGGTAAAATAATTTTCTAAAATAAAATTGCTTAGTCTTTCATACCATGCTCTAGAAACTTGTTTCAGACCATACATATATTTCTTAAGTTTGAAAATGAAATATGGGTTTTTATGATTTTAAAAAGCAGGAGGTTGGTGTACATACACTTCTTCAATTATGTAACCATTAAGAAATACACTTCTAACATCCATCTAATACAATATGATGTTATGATTAACAGAAAAAGAAATAAATAGATGAATAGACTCTAACATGGCAACTAGTGCAAAGGTCTTAGTATAATCAATTCCCCTTTGCTGACTATAGCCATGTGCAATCAGTCTGGCCTTGTTTCTTACCACCTCTTCTTGTTCGTTTAGCTTGTTTCTGAAGACCTATTTTATCTTAATGACATGAGTTCCTTTGGATCTAGGCCCAAGAGTCCACACATTATTTCTAGAGAATTGGTTCAGTTTTTCTTGCATTTCCAAAAGTGTCCATAAAGGGTTCATCAACAGATGTAGGTTCTATAATGGACACCAAACCCAGAAGTGTCTCTTTAGAAGGTTTGAATGAGGATTTGGTTCTGACTGGTTTAGTTTTATCTCTTAGATTCAATTCTTCAGAATGTGAGGATCTTTGTATGTGCTTCCTTAGAGAAGTATGAACTTCAACATCTACTGGTTGAATAGTTTCAGAGTCTTTAGTCTCATATTCCTTGGAATTTGATTCTTTACCTATAAATCCTAAATAAGTGATTTCCATATCTACAAACTTCTCAACTAGCTTTACTTTTCAAGATCAAGGTTATCATCAAATCTAACATGGATTTATTCTTCAACAATTCGGGTTTCAGTATAACCCTTAGAGAGTTCAGAGTATTATAACATAATACACTTTTATGCCTTAGAATCAAACTTGTTTATATTTTCCTTAGTGTTCAGAATAAAACAATCACAACCAAAATGATGAAAATATGAAATTTTTGGTTTTCCTTTCTTCCATAATTCATAAGGAGTCTTACCCAGAATAGGCCTTATAGAGATTTTATTCTGAATATAACATACTGTGTTGACTGCCTCTACCTAGAAGTTCTTATTCACATTAGTCTCATCGATCATGGTTCTAGTCATCTCTTGAAAAGTCATATTCTTCCTCTTTACAACTCCATTTTATTATGGAGTTTTAGGGCAAGAGAAACCATGGGAAATGTCATTCTCATGAAAGAGTTTCGCAAAATCTTTATTTTCAAAATCTCCACCATGATCACTTTTGACTTTAACAATTCTAAATTCTTTCTTATTTCTTCCATATCTGCTAACTCCATAGATCATTGAAGTCATCTTGCTTGTATATATGTTTCTATCTAGAAATGTCTAAAAAGATTTGTCATATTTCTTTATGATAGTTTCAGAATCCACAGAAGCTTCTGAAATAATTTTTTCCTCAAATTTGGAATTTTTACTTTGAAGGGCAGAGTTTTCATTTTTCAAAATAAAATTCTCTTCATTCAAAATGGAGAAATTTTTCTTAAGCTTAATATGTGCTTTAGATTAAGATACATGGACTTGTTTCATATCCTTGTATTTGTTCTAAAGCTTTTGATACTTTTCCATAATTTAGGAAGACACGATCCTAATTAAGAATGAGATAAGTTAGGAAATACCTCATTAAAGTCTGACTCATGCTCTGATTCTTATTGAATCTTTTCATCAAGTGTTTTTATGCTTTCCATCAGCGCCACATTAGCTTGCTCTTCCTCAGAGTCATCTTCTGAGGATTCAGAGTCATCCCAAGTAACCATCAGACATTTCTTCTTTCCTCTGAAGTCCTTCTTCTTTTGTTGATCAGTCATCATTTTTCTTTTCACCTTCTTATAACTTGCATCAAGAGGATAAATATAGCCATCAACTAACATATCTCATAGATCTACATCATGACCAAGGAAAAAACTTTATATTCTATCATTCCAGTAATCAAATTTTCTCCATAAAAAACTGGATGTTTTGCACTATAGTGATCTCTATCAGCTGGTGCAGGGATAGCAGCCATTGTGTTTCACAAACTGGATCTTTATTTGACACGATGAAGTGTTTGGTAAATAATTAATACCAGAACCAAAACTATGATGCCAATTGAATATGAGGAAAAACACAAGAAATTGGGGTTTGAATTGGGTTTGTAAAAATGAAAACTTTTTCAACCCCACACAACAAATAGAGAATGAAGAAAAAAATAATGAAACATATTTTTATACTTGTTCGCTATTAACTAAGCTACCTCCACTCCACCCGTTAATGTGATTTCGCCTTATCAATAAGGACTTAATCCACTATAATAAAACTTGATTGTAACACAAAGATCAACAGTAAATGTCTTATTGAGTAAATAGACTAAACCATAGTCACTCAAGGAAAATACAATAAACAGATTGATACAAAATGTGTTTACAAAATGCTTCTAAAAAAGATGAATACACAAATGAAATACAAGTATATCACACAAAAGATATTCAATGAAGAGTATAAATAAAATTTTGTTGTGTGTGTTTCTTTTCTCTTAAAATATTCACAAATAACATTGTTCATGTATATGATAATAGTGTAGCATAGTAATTGTTCAAGTGTTTTTCTATTCTTCTATGTCTTCTTTATATAGGCAATGAAGAGATCCGTTGGAGGGTAGAATTTGAATACTAAAATGCAGTTGTATCCTTGCATAACGGTTTGTGAAAATGGGAGACAAAATGGTACAATAGTACAATCCTTAAACCACAAAATCAGTGTAGTGGAAGGAATATTTGAATTTGTACTGTGTACTATTTTTCTCACGTAAAACTCTTTGATCTTATCTTCAATATTCAGAGGCTTCTGATAGTTAGGTGGTAAAACATGCATAAGAGAATAGTAAGAGTCTGATTGAGAGAATCTTCAAAACTTTGACCTTCAGAGTCTTGATCCAGTTCATTAGAACCTGATCTTTAGAGCCTGGTTACGCAGTTCAGAGTTGAATTGAGCGCATGGCTTCAGAGCATAATAATTTTAGAAGCTTTAGAGTAATAAAGATTTGGATGAATGGGTGTCAGGAGCGTTGAGTACATAATCCACAACTTGATCAACTTGTAAACACATAATTCAGAGTCAGAGTACACTAATTTCAGAGTCTGATGATGTCACATGTCCTATAATTAGAATCATAATTTGTATAAAAAATATGCACACGGAATAAAATCATTAGGGTACAAAATTGTTCTCTAAAACTTTATGTATTATTATCATCAAAGCATAAAGCTAGATGTATAACCAAATCTTGTTCTTATAATCTGAACTACTATAAATATTGAATTCTCTAATTGAATAGGGACAAGATAATTAGGAATTGTGACTTAGGGACTAACGTGCTTTATTGCCTAGTTTGATGGTATAATTGTCCCGAGGGAGCAAGGAATTGACGTCTAGATTAGTGAGTTGCACGCCAAGGGATTGAGTATAGTAGTAGAGTTAGTTTGTCGTGTAACTATGTAGTCTTACAACGTATCTTATTCTAAATTTGCAGTCTCTGTGAAACGAATTTATTTTATTAGTTCGATTACAACACTAATACACTTACTAGTAAATTAGCATCACGGAAGATTAAAATTCTTAAAAAAAAAAACTCAAAAAAGCTACCAAAAACCTAGATTTTAAAATTAGGGGCCAACATTGGAAAAAAAAAAATATGAGACTAAAGTTATAATGAAGCCAAAAGATTATGTTTAATGCGTTTATTCATCTACGAATGAATAGATTGATTCCAAATCGTACGTGTTTTTTAAAGGTGTGTTTTGTAATTTTATCCAACTATATTGTTCAACTTCTAATATTGCTAAATATAAGGTATTATTTATTTGTAAGGTAATTTAAAATAAACCTTCGCCAATTACAAACTTACATGAGACATTGGGGGTGTTACAATTGAAGAAGAGGGTTACGTATCAAGAAATTAGCCGTAAATGTTTTGTAAATTTAGTCGTGATGCAAACAAAATTATCAAACAAGGGTTGTTAAGTATTAACAAGTGTGAGTAGTGTGGATAATAGTTCCACATTGGATAGAAATGTGGTGACTTGAGCATTTATAAATGAGAGAATCCACACACCTATTACCTTAAGGTTTTGGGTGAGTATGTGGTGTGTCTCTCACAAAGGTTGCTCTAGAAAAAAGTCCCACTATGTTCAATGCTCCCTAGTTGAAAGATCAAAGCACTTCGAGTAAAGGGAACGACTTACTTGTATCGGAGAGCATTGTGGATAGACTCACACTTGAGGGAGAGTGTTAAGTATTAACAAGTGTGAAACGGCCCTAATTTTCTATATATTAATATACTATCTCCGTTTTAAAATTACTATCGTTTAAAGTTTGCATTGTGGATAGACTCACACTTGAGGGAGAGTGTTAAGTATTAACAAGTGTGAAACGGCCCTAATTTTCTATATATTAATATACTATCTCCGTTTTAAAATTACTATCGTTTAAAGTTTAAGACAACATTTCTTTCAAAATAACTATCGTTTAAAGTTTAAGACAACATTTCTTTCGACCAATTGAGTTTCCTCCATATTATATTTTTAAAAACTAGCTTGCTATTCGCAGTCAAATCTCAAACCAACAATATCTATCATCGACCAATTGAGTTTCCTCCATATTATATTTTTAAAAACTAGCTTGCTATTCGCAGTCAAATCTCAAACCAACAATATCTATCATCAACCTATCAGATTCCATCATTAGAATCATAAACAAGGAGAATAGAATTAAAGACAGAAGAGTACCAAAGTAAATGTTCATTGTGATTATTCTTTTTTAACTGTTTGAGACTAAGAATTTGTCCAACCCTTCCTAAATGTGTATAGAACCTAGTTGGTTATTTTCTGATATTAAATACTTCATTGTTCTTACAAGAACAAATACCAATTTGCATGAACTACATAATATATAAATCATACAAGAAAAGAAAATTCTCTTAATTAGAAACCATGCTTTCACTTTCTTTCACAAAACCATCTCCTGTCCAGTCTTTATCAGATTGCAATCCTTTCTTTATTGCTTTCCTTTGCTTTATTGCTTCTTGCTGCCTTTTCACCAAGTCTGTGTGTGTAGTAAAATACTCCAGAGATGCCCTGTCATTTTTATTCAAAAATTAATATATGAGATTATAACTCAACATGCTTTTTTTTAAAATTGTGAAACTGTTTATACCCTCTGAAATCTTCTATTGATTTGAAATTGTGTTTTTTCATGAAGTCTTTAAGCTCATCAGAAAGCTTCTTCACGAGACCATAGCCATGCATCATAACGCCCGTGCATACCTGCGAGTTATAAAAGATTGCCCATTATTTGGCATAGTTTGTATAAACTACGTAATTAAGCGCTTATAGCATGAATGCTTATCACATGATTGTTTTTATGTAAAAATATTATCACAGCGAATATCATGTTCAAGACCGAAGAGCATCAGACTATCAAGCATTGACACAGACACGATACTGATGTGTATACACATTAGGCATCAGGGATGATTTTAAATGAAAATGATTGAATATAACAACATGTGTCGGATTCATATTCGCAACTGGCATCAAACAGGCGGTGAAAATAGTATTGGGATGCGAGATTGGAAAACTAAACATGGAACCGAGCAGACCATATGTATCAAAAGGGCCTAAAAAAATTATTCTTGCATCATACCTGGACCGTATTTGCACCAAGAAGAATAAACTCAGCAGCATCACCACCTGTCTCAACACCGCCAATGGCGGAAAGTGAATAGTTCTCATTATCAAACTCCGCTTTCATCATTTTTGCAATACTCATAACCTTCCCAAGGGCGATCGGATGGACCGCCTTTGCAGAATAACCGCCTGGAGTTGAGTACCTGACATCAAAATTTAGAGAAATCAGATGATTGAAAAAATAAAGCAGAACTGTGAATTTGGTGTGAGTGAGATTGTAAACCCCTCAACACAAGGCTCGGGACGTAAAGTATCCAGATTGATTCCCATAACACTCATGATTGTATTTATAGCAGCTATTCCCTCAGATCCTGAACTTAGAGCAACCCTTGCTGGCTACAAGCAGAAGAATCCCCGAAATTACAAACATGATAATCATGGAAAATCGAAAGGGTAATTATAATAGAGACACGATTCGGATGCAAACCTGTGAAATATCAGTTATGTTGGGAGTCATCTTAGCCCAAACTGGAACAGTAGCTTTTGCATTTATCCATCCACAAACTTCTTCCAGAAGAGCACAATCTTGCCCAACAGCAGCACCCATTTTGCGTTCCGGCATACCATGAGGACACGAGAAGTTTATTTCAATTGCATCCTAAAAGAATATCAGAGGTCAGCTACCAGATTTTTCAAGATTAGAATTAATCAGTGATTTAAAAAACCGAACAAGACAGTCCAACCAATTGAACTTTGAACTTGATCGTGTTTTAATCTCGGTTCAAGCGATTTAGATTGGTTGAACCATGACTCAGAGGTCTCGCCAATTCGATGCCTAGTTCGGTTTTTAAAACAATGGGAAAAAAAAACATTCAACTTATCAAATTCAGCAAAGAAACGCATCTTACAACTCCAGTTTGTTCAACTCTATCTATAAGCTCTTCCCAAGCGGCTTTATTGTACTCTTCCATAATTGAAGCTATGAGAATTCGGTCAGGGTACTCATCTTTCAATTGCTTAAATTCTTTCAACATGGTTTCAAGTGGTCTATCACTGATAAGTTCAATGTTCTGCCACCCAATAATTTCTCCTTTTGTCGATCCATTTCCATTAGCCCGTAGCCGAGCATATCGAGGAGTTACATTTATAACTTTTGCTGCATCAAGAGATACCTAGCAAAACAAATATACAAAATCCTATAGCAATCTTTCAAATTACAAATATTCAATAGTATTTAAATGATCCAAACAATAAAATAACACTCTAGCTCATCTCATACCACTCCGCTCCGTCTGATTCCATCAATTCAAACACAGCCTAAGTTTCAAGTACGTACATTACTAATAGCAACACAAATTCACCACTACCAACAAATCAAGCACATGAAAACTAGTCTAGAATCAAATCAATCTAATGCATTATAGAAATAAGTTAAGAATTGAAAGCTTACAGTTTTAGCAATGACAGCACCCCAACCTTCATCAAAAGCTCTTTTCATGACAGTGTAATTAGTTCCAGGCGGACCTGATCCAATAACAAACGGATTGGGCATATGCAAACCATTAACAGTAACACTAAGATCAGGCTCTGAAGATGATCCACTCTCAGAAGCAAAAACCTTAAACCCAACTCTATTAGGACGACCATAAACCTTCTTAGTATAATTCAACGAAAACCCAGATGTAAAGTTCCCGGTCCTGATCTGGGTCATGCTTAAAGATGCCATTTTTGAAGGAAAAATTAAAACTTTCTGCAAAATTCAGAAAAGGAAGAGGAAAAAATGATGATGAAGCAGCAAAAGAATAAAGTGAATCTGGACTGAATCTGAGTTATAGTAATATTTTTTGAGGATGCAGTGATTGATTTGAGAAAACGTCCAAATATGAATCACCGTTTGCTTGTAGAATTTGGAAGATTATCTGAAAAAATTATAAACAATTGCTTAAGAAGTTGGACTTGCATGTGAGGGTGATTGTGCCAATGGATATTATAAGATTTTAATTTTAATTTTAATAATACAGCCATTATGATTCATTAATGTATTTAGGTTTCTAATTTTAATAATAAAATTTGAACAAAATTTTTTTTAATAAGGTAATTATGATTAATTTAATATTTTTAATAATATATTTTTTAGAACGGTTGAATCTTGAATAGTATTGTATTGGTCATTGATGGAAGTGTTGAGATTTCCAAACTGTTGAGTCATGTAATCCATTAACTGTTGGTTACTCGGGCCATGTTCATTTGGAGGAGGAGGAGGAGGAGCATCATCATCATCTTCATTCTCTTCATCATTCTTTTCAGCCATACCTTCACCAAGATACACAATGGTTTTGGTTTCCGGATTATATTTGACACCCATTCGAGAGTCCACATTTTTGATTGAGATCTTGTTGATATTTGAATCCATGAGATACTTATCAAATCCTTCAAAGTCTACTTGATAATGTTCCAAGATCTTTGTAATGAACCATGCATATGGCAGAAACTTGGATTTTTCATTGATTCCACGCATATGAGTCAAAATTAAGTTTGACCAACTTATGGGAATGTCATTCTTAACAGTATAGAGAATCTGCATTTCTAGATCAGTCACGATGCAGTGGTTTCCACCTCTTGGGAACATTATGTAAACCATGAAATAATGAAACAACCGATCATCAATGTTAAAAATAGCTGTCGACCATGAGTTTCGAGAGGGTTCCATGCCGCCTAAGGATCTTACATGTTTTGCATGGAATTTTGCTTCAGTCATACAGCCAAGGCTCCAATAGAATTCTCGTTTGTTGTATGCTTTCCAGAGGTCTTCATTCTCTTCATAAAGTCTTCCACCAGAAATTGGAATGTTCATAATCCTACCAAGTGTTTTTGAGTAGAGTGAGATTCTTTTTCCTTGAACATATGTTACCATCTTGCCTTCTTCCATTTGTAGGTTGCTATAGAACAATCTTACCAAATCCAGATAATACGGTCCAGATGAGGAAATCACAGGTTCCAACCCACATGCAATCAAAGTTTCTTGGAAAGAAAAGCATTCTTTAAGGAATGATGAGAGAATACCATATTTTGGTGTTTGCACAACCTTCTTCTGAAAATATTTGGTGAATTTTTCCTTTTGTTCATCATCCAAGTGTTGAAGAACCAGTGGAATTTTTGAAGATGAGGAGGCTGGGCCTTTGTCTTGTGCTGAAATCTTCCTTTTTGTGCGTGAAGCCATGTGAAAAAGATGGAGTTTTAGAGTTTGTGAGGAAAGAAAGAGTTTTTGTGGAGGTTATATTTTGAAGGAGATGGTTAATATAGGTTAAGAGAAGTTGGTTTTATAATGGTTAAGAGAGGAGTTATTGTAAGATATAAGTGGTTGAAGGTATTGATGATTAGGACTTTGAGAATATGAGAATTAATGGTCAATGTCTTGAGACTAGAATAGAGTAGTAATGGCTAGTCATATATAGGTCAAAAAGGTAATGATAGGGTAGTTGGAAAGTTTAAGAAACCATGGATCTATTAAATAGAAATAGAAAAAACAGTTTTACAGTAGGTGCAATCGATTGGCATAGTGGTGCAATCGATTGCTCTACCAAACAGAAATGAATTTTGGCAAAAGTTACAGAGTGCAATCGATTGACACAGGGGTGCAATCGATTGCTTGCTTTAAAATTAAATAAAATTTGCAAAACTTAAAGTGAGCAATCGATTGCTGCAGGGGTGCAATCGATTGCTTGCAGTGAAATTTTGAGAAATTGCCACAAATTGAGTTCTGTCATGATTCAACATCAGTTTCATCCAGAATTCCAAGTTCCCTTCGTATTTTGAAGAAAGATTCCTTTGCCAAAGGCTTCGTGAATATATCGGCAAGTTGATTATGAGTATCCACAAATGTTATCTCGACATCTCCTTGAAGTACATGATCTCGCAGAAAGTGATGTCATATGTCGATGTGCTTGGTCCTTGAATGCATGACTGGATTCTTTGTTATATTTATTGCACTTGTGTTGTCACAGCGAAGAGGAATGCTACCCAGATCGAGTCCGTAGTCACGAAGTTGTTACTTGAGCCAAAGTATTTGCACACAACAACTTCCCACTGCTATGTACTCCGCTTCAGCCATACTGAGTGCTACGCATGCTTGCTTCTTGCATGTCCATGGGACTAGTGCATTTCCAAAGATGTGACATGTTCCACTTGTGCTTTTTCTATCAATTTTACAGCCTACATAATCCGCGTCAGAATATCCAATTAAATTGCATATACTACCTTTAGGATACCATAAGCCGAAATTTGTTGTTCCTTTGAGATACTTCATGATCCGCTTGACTGCCATCAGGTGAGACTCCTTTGGATTTGCTTGAAAGCGAGCGCAAAGACATACGCTAAACATAATGTCAGGGAGGCTTGCTGTCAGGTATAGTAGGGAACCAATCATACCTCTATATTTTGTGATATCAACCGATATACCAGATTCATCTTGATCTACATATGTACCAGATCCCATATGTGTAGATAAAGTCTTGCAGTTATCCATATCAAACTTCTTCAATAATTTTTTGCAATACTTCAATTGATTGATAAAGATCCCATTCTTAAGTTGCTTGATCTGAAGTCCAAGAAAGTAGTTCATTTTTCCCATCATAGACATTTTGAATTCTCCTTACATCATGGATGAGAATTCTTCGCATAGCTTGGTGTTGGTTGAGCCGAAGATTATGTCGTCAACGTACACTTGTACCAAGAAATTGCTCAACCACTTGTCCCTCAAAAATTTTGTCTACCTTTCCCTTTACAAAGCCTTTGTCACATAAGAAATTACTGAGTCGATCGTACCATGCTCTTGGTGCTTGTTTTAATCCATAGAGGGCTTTCTTTAGTTTGAAGACATGAGATGGATATTTGTAATCTTCAAAACCAGGGGGTTGCTTGACATACACTTCTTCATTTATGAATCCATTCAAGAATGCGCTTTTGACGTCCATTTGGAAAAGCTAAAAATTCATGGAACATGCATAAGCTAATAATAATCTAATTGTTTCTAGTCTTGCAACTGGAGCGAATGTTTCGTCAAAATCGATTCCTTCTTCTTGGTTGTATCCTTGGGCGACCAATCTTGCTTTGTTCCGAACTATAATACCATTTTCATCGAGTTTGTTCTTGAAGACCCATCTTGTTCCAATGATATGCTTGTTATTCGGCCTAGGGACAAGATTCCAAACTTGATTTCTTTCAAACTGGTTTAGTTCTTCTTACATAGCTATAATCCATTGATCATCGCCTAAGGCTTCATCGATTTTGGCTGGTTCAATTTGCAAAACAAATGTCATGTTAACACAAGCATCCTTGAGATTTAATCTTGTTGAAACACCTTGACTGATATCACCAATGACTTTATCGATCGGGTGATCTCTATGAGTTCTCCATTCTTTCGGTAGATTATTGTGTACTTCATTTTATTGTGAATCCTCTTGCTGCTGATTTGGTTTATCACTTGTAATATCATTGAGAGTGTTTTCTTGAGAGGTTTCTACTACATCATCATCATTAACAATAATATCATCCTCCTTGGAGGGGTTAGATTCATCAAAAGAAACATGCATAGATTCTTCAATAGTTAAAGTTCTTTTGTTAAAAATTCTGAAAGCCTTACTTGAGAGAGAATAGCCGAGAAAAATACCTTCATCGGATTTCTCATCGAACTTACCGAGATTGTCTTTGTCATTGTTCAAGATAAAGCATTTACACCTGAATATGTGGAAGAAGGATGTGTTTGGTTTTCTTCCTTTGAACAGTTCATAGGGGGTTTTCTTAAGAATTGGTCTGATGTTCACATGATTATATACAAAACATGTCGTGCTTACCGCATCTGCCCAAAAATATTTAGGAAGGTTTGAATCACTAGCATTGTTCTTGCAAGTTCTACCAACGACCGATTCTTTCTTTCTATGACACCATTTTGCTGTGGAGTTCTTGGTGCAGAGAAATTGTGAGAGATTCCATTTTCCTCGCTGAATTCTTCAAATAAAGCGTTCTGGAATTCTCCACCATGGTCACTTCTAATGGAGACAAATGAAAGTGACTTCTCATTCTGAATCTGTTTTGCATACTTCTTAAATGCCTTGAAAGCTTCGCTTTTCTGCACTAAGAAGAAAGTCCACGTATATATAGAGAAATCATCAATAATTACTAATGCATAAACGTTACCTCCAAAACTTTTTGTCCTCGAAGGTCCGAAGAGATCCATGTGTAATAATTGTAGTGGCCTAGTTGTGGACACCACATTTTTGGATGTGAAAGTTGATTTGGTCTGTTTCCCCTTTTGGCATGCGCCAAACAATCTATCTTTGATGAATTTGATCTTTGGAAGACCAACAACTAAGTCATGTTTGATCAATTTATTCAAATGCTCCATATGACTGTGAGCAAATATTTTGTGCCATAACCAAGAGTCGTTGTTGTTTGCCATAAGACACTTAACCTTCAAAGATATGTTATCAAGGGAAATCATGAAAATATTATTAATCCTATTACCTTTTAACATTACCTCAGAAGTGACTTCATTTTCTATCAAACATTCATCTTTAGTGAAGTTGATTCTGAAACCTTTGTCACAAAGCTGACTAATGCTAAGTAGGTTATGCTTTAGGCCTTCTACATAAAGGACATCTTCTATGGTTGTAAAAGGCGGTGCACCAATGCTTCCTACGTCAAGGATCTTTCCTTTGTTGTTATCAC